TCCAATTATTGATTAAAAAATTAGATACAGAGACTATTACTCGTTACGAATTGCAACGCAGCAATATTGTATCAAATCCCAATACGGACATTCCCAAATTTTCAGATTTAGTGGATTACTTGAACAAACAATGTTTAGCTTTGAACTCAGCAAAGATGGTTTGTTCAAAAACTATTAAAACACAAAAAAAAAATGTCTCGAATCCTAAATGTTCCTCGCATACTTCATTTTCTCGTTCTTCATTTGTCGTTACTCAGAATAATTCTGAGCCAAAAAAGGGTGTTGTATGCCAATATTGTAAATCGGACCATTTAATATACAAATGTCCAGGATTCCATCAAATTTCACCAAAGGAGAGATATGACTTTGTTAAAGCAAATAGGCTTTGTTTGAATTGTTTTTCTTCAATTCACGGTGTAGTTGCTTGCAAATCACCTCATTCTTGTAAGTCATGCTCTGCTCGACACAATACTCTACTTCATTTCTCGAAATCAAATCCACAAGATGTTAATACGTTGGTCAATTCGACAGATTCTCAAAGTTCTAATCTAAGCGCATCCATCAGTAATGCAACTTCTCTAGTTTCTATGGAATCTTCTAACAATCAAACTGGATCTCGTGCTATCTCTAACAAAACCACTGTTCTTCTCTCGACTGCCGTTATTGATGTCATGGATTTCCGAGGAAATTTCCACGCAATTCGTGTTCTGCTCGACAGCGCAAGTCAAGCAAACTTTCTTACAGAGAGTTGTGCAGTTAAGTTGGGGTTGCAACCCTTCACACTCAATATTCCTATCAATGGTGTGGGTTTGATGACATCCACACACTCTTGTGGCGTAAATTGTAAAATCCGTTCAAGAATAGATAATTCATTTTCCTTGGATATCGAGGCAGTTGTGCTACAAAAGATTTGTGCTAAAATGCCAAATGTAGATATTGATTTTCGAGATTGGAATCACATTCACAAACTAGATCTAGCCGATCAGAAGTTCAACACTTCAGATTCGATTGATATGCTTTTAGGTGCTGATGTGTATGCACAAATCATTAGAGATGGTCGTTTGGGAGGAATAAGTGGAACTCCTACCGCATTGAATACCATATTCGGTTGGATTTTACTTGGTCGTGTGCAATATCAACCTTCAGCATCTTTGAACGCCTTTTTCACTTTAGTATCCCCAGAAAGTCGGTTAGATGAAACTCTGAAATCATTTTGGAAGGTTGAAGAGGTTAGTGATGTCCAAAAAATGTCCAAGGACGATGAACTCTGTGAGGACATTTTTAGGAGAACACATTACAGAAATAGTTCTGGACGCTTTGTAGTTTCGTTGCCATTCAAAAATATGGAACCTGAATTCATAGATACTCGCTCCATGGCACTTCGTAGATTGTACTCATTGGAAAGGCGATTAGCTTCTGATTCCTCATTGAAAAATGATTACGCTGAATTCATGCTTGACTATTTAAAAAATGGTCATATGGAACTGATTGATCATCTTGATAATAATCCCCACAGTTTTTATATACCTCATCATGCAGTACTAAAGCCCGAAAGTCAAACCACTAAGTTGAGGGTGGTATTCGATTGTTCTGCTAAATCCTCGCAAAATTGCTCGTTAAATGATTTCTTGTTAGTCGGTGGTAAATTACAGAAGGATATTTTTTCGCTAATGATGAATTTCAGAATTTATAAATATGTTCTGTCTGCCGATATCAAACAAATGTTTAGAAATATTCTAGTTGACCCTAGGCATCAGGATTACCAGAGAATACTATGGAGATTCTCTGAGCATGAACCTGTCAAGGACTATCGTTTACTCACTGTAACTTATGGCATGGCATCCTCCCCTTTCTTAGCAAATCGTGTACTATTGCAATTAGCTGAAGATGAGAAGTCCAAATTTCCTGAAGCTTGTAGTGTACTTTCAACTAGTATATATGTTGATGACTTGTTGTTTGGAAAAAATGAATTGTCTGAAGCTGCGAAGCTGAAAGATGATTTGATTGCTTTGTTGAAATCTGGAGGTTTCTTACTCAGGAAATGGTCCAGTAATCATCCAGATTTACTTTCTGACATTCCAGAAGCAGACAAACTTATCTCCTCATTAAATTTTGATTCTGCTGAATCCAATAATCCTATTAAAATTCTTGGTCTACGCTGGTGTCCCTCACTAGATACATTTTCATATCAAGTCGAAATTCTTGATCGGCCTTGCACCAAGCGCAATATTCTATCAGAATTATCAAGGATTTTTGACCCGCTTGGTTTTCTTTCTCCATTGACCTTTTTTGCGAAATATTTAATCCAGTATATGTGGACTATCGGCTTAGACTGGGATGCTACTCCCCCGCCTGATGTTTTAGATTTGTGGTTAGGTTACAAACGCCAGTTAACACTTTTATCTGAATTGCAGATACCTCGTCTCATTTTGACTTCGAATCCTCTCTTGTGTGATATTCACGGTTTCTGTGATAGTTCCGAAAAGGGATATGCTTCTGTTATCTATTTTCGATGCATGGATTCTAATAAAGAAGTTAAAGTATTTATGATATGTGCCAAGTCGAAAGTTGCGCCACTTCAGAAAATTTCTCTTGCTCGACTCGAGTTATGTGGTGCAGTTTTGTTGGCAAATTTGTTGGCCTCTGTATTTAGGTGTTTTGAATCAAAATTAGTCTTCAATAAGATTTATGCATGGAGCGACTCCATGATCGCTTTGACGTGGATAAGAGGCCCTTCATATAAATGGAAAACTTTCGTCAGCAATAGGGTGAGTCACATTCAAACAACCATTTCTCCATCTTGCTGGAGACACGTTCGTTCCAAAGATAACCCCGCTGATCCAGCTTCCAGGGGTTTGTTACCGGAAGATTTGATAAAAAATGCATTATGGTGGCATGGACCTCCATGGTTGTCTTTGGAAGAACAGAGATGGCCTTCAAGCGACGTGAAAAATGTCCCTTCGGAGGTTTTTGAAGAAGAAAAGGTATTGTCCTTGTTCGTCTCTCTAGAGGAGGACTGTTTCCTTCCACTTTTAAATAGATTCTCATCTTTAAAGAAGATCCAAAGGATCGTGGCATATTGTTTGCGGTTTCTTCACAATCTGAAAAATGGCAATCTTAAAAAAAATAATAGTTTTAGCTCTGTCGATTTGCAAGAAGCTCTCATCATTCTGGTTAAAAGAGTACAATCAGTTACATTTCATGAGGATATTTTCAAGCTGAAAAATGGAAAATCATTATCGAAACCTTTGAGAAAACTCTCACCCTTTCTTGATAGTCAGGATCTGCTCAGGGTGGGCGGTAGACTAGCCAATTCTAGTCTACTATTTGACCAGAAACATCCTCTTCTTCTCAGCCGCGATCATCGCCTGACTTTCCTCCTAATCGAGCAAACTCATAAGGATAATCTCCATCCTGGATTGCAAGCGCTGCAATATCTTCTTGTACAAAATTATTGGATAATTGGTTGCAAAAGGGCTATTCGTGATGTTGTTTCTAAATGTTTAAGATGTTTTCGGTCCAGGCCAAAATCAGTGGAACCATATATGGGAAATTTACCTTCAGCAAGGATAACTCAAGTAAAACCTTTTTCTGTCGTTGGAGTGGATTTTGCTGGTCCATTCCTCGTAACATTGTCAAAAGCCAGAGGAATTAGATCTCAAAAGGCTTATTTGTGTTTATTTGTTTGTTATGTTACCAAGGCAGTTCACCTCGAATTGGCTTCCGATCTGTCTTCAGAAGCCTTCTTGCTTGCTCTCAGGCGATTTATAGCTCGAAGAGGGCGAATTTCCACAATTCATAGTGACAATGGTACCAACTTTCATGGGGCGAATAATTATTTAGTCAATTTGATGAAGTCAGCAGCTGAAGCTGAATATATTGAGTGGAAATTTAACCCTCCAAGCGCACCTCATCTAGGAGGACTTTGGGAAGCGGGCATCAAGTCTGTTAAGGTACACTTCTATAGAATAATAGGGCAACAAATATTGACCTTTGAAGAAATGTCCACCCTTTTTTGCCAAATAGAGGCTGTTCTGAATTCAAGGCCCATTTGCGCATTGAGTTCAGATCCGAATGACCTCAATTCTCTAACTCCGGGACACTTCTTAACTTTAGCACCTTTGACATGTCTTCCAGAAGAGAATTTGTTAGAAATTCCCGATTAATTAATTAATTGTTTTTTTTTTCTTTCTCAAATTATTATTATTTTTTTTTTTAAATACAGGTATTTTGGTGAGCGGCATGTTGAAGTTTCGTTAATTTGAAATTCCTTTTTTTTTTATTCGTATAAATAAATACGTATTTTTTTTGTTTCTTGTGGGTACAACAATAACTTATTGATAATAGTGATAATGATTTAGTATGCTCAAATTCAATTAGTTTCACACATATATCTGATGAGCAGAATTGTATTGGTGGTTGCATATCCTCTACCGCTGCTACCAAGTATTAAAACACGTCCGAGCAACAGTCAGGACAGAGACAGGAGGTAGTGGGGATAGTTTTCGAAAAGGAGTGATCGCGAATGCACGCTTCCGCTTTTCGCGAAATTGGACAATTTTGAAAATTGCTTAAAATGCGTAGTTCGTGAAACAACTAGTAGATAGTTTGGTGCAACAATAAACTATCAATAGTTACACGCCGCAAACTTGATAGACATCCAGATATCTCATTCTGGAACTCCGATAGCCGGCCGGCAAAGAAGAATACAGCTCCTTCACGAGGTAAACCGCTTTTCTTTTCTGCTATCAGCTGGTTAAAAACACCTTTTTTATACAGTCCATTCATTACACTAGACATTCATCACAAGTTTAATGCATTGTCTCGTAGAAGTTATTCATAATCTGTGTACAAGTTTCTATAAAATAATTTCAGATAATGTCCCTGAAAAGTCAAGTGAGTAACAATGATATCTAGTTTTCTGAAGAGTTGTGTGAAAGAAACCCTCACAAAAATTGATTTTGCTGTAATTTTGTGGTATATTGAAAACTAAATCTCACCTGCAAAGTAATAGAATCCGCTGAGAAGCGAGCTGACCAACGCCACTTTCGTAGGATGCACCTCGAACGTCTTGCTGATGTCCGTCAAGAAAATCCCGAAGGTATACGTGGTGCCATCGATGATGAAGTTGCAGACGAAGGCCACGGCCACCACTACCCATCCCCAGCCACCGTCCGGGGGTATAACGACGTAGTGCTCGGCCACGTCATCCTCGGTGGCGGGTAAGATGACCGACCGCGTGGGGATAGTGCGCATGACCGAAGGGGCAGCCACGGAGACGGACCTGGTGGTTCTGACGGTCGGAGGCGGGTTCCGCATCACGGTGATTGTTCGGTGTCACAATAATAGATGATATAGGAGTGACAGTGACAGGATGAGTCAAAATTATCATGATGTTTGGATATTACAATACACAAAGTGAATTGTTTATTTGTTCATAATGGTCATGTTCCGATATTGCTGTCGTTACTGGCACTAAACAGTCTTGCTGAACAGTGGCAATAACTTTGGATTTTCATCCCATTCCGGGAAGATTTTAGCAGTATTGGTACAATGGCAGCAAAACATATCCGTAACCCATGATCTTTCGATTTTCGATGCTTTGTTCAGTTGGTTTCTATTTCCATCATTCTTATTATTATCTTCTTTACTCACGTTGAAATCATGGATGGGGTGATTATGCTGGTTTTATAGATTCAACTATAATGAGAATTAAACTAACAAAGATGAATTCAAAAGGTTGAATACAAGAAAACATCTATGAGGGATTATACATTCAGATCTGCCATTCAAATTAGGAATGAAGAATTACAAAGCTGGCCAACTTTCAAATCAATAACTTAGAATATGGCATTTCTGAAGGCAAAACATGAAGATTGGATTTGTTATTGTTCAAATGAAGATTGGTGATATTTAATTGGAATATTTGTGGAAACCGAAATCACTAGGTAAGTTTCTTGGTGATCGACTTTTATTGCCGGTGAGTGAATAAGTTTTATCGAATCATACCTATAACCATTCGAACGCTTAACCTCACATTTCATGAATACTGTCACTACACCATTTCTGCACCAGTGGCCAACAGTAAATTTTCAGCCCCTAACAGGGTCCCCTGCAATGAACCGCGAAAACGATGCCAGTGAAATTCAGTAAAAGCGGAACGATAAAATATGCTGGGCAATACTACTCGGGAATATCAGAACGAACCTAATCGGAACATGCTCGATATCTGATTGTGGGACATTCTACTATTGATTGTCAATCTTTAATACAGTATTTAATATAGGTACATTAAAATATTCAAATGACGCCGCGGCCCAAATCAGGTTTCCTCTGTTTGGCAAGATTTCACTCTCGCCCTCGAGCCTGAAATATTATTCACCAAGTGAATTGATAGGCATAAAAAAAACTGGATCATCCTGGTTAAATATGTTTTTCAAGTTTTTCAATATTGGAAACGTCTTCAGCGAAGTAAAAGGAGCAGATTAGTAGAATCTCCAAAACCACTATTTTTCGCCACTGGTGAAGAATTGAAAAATGTGTAATTCACTCCGACAAAAATTGATTCTGCTGTAATTTTGCGGCAACTTGGAATGGTTTAGGGGATCTCACATGTTCCAAAGTGATAAAATCCGTTGAGAAGTAAGCTAACCAACGCCACCTTCGTAGGATGATAAGATATACGTGGCTACATCGATGATCAAGTTGGTAACAAATATCTCAATCTTGGAAAAGTCTGCAGCTAAGCTGAAGGATGACTATATCGCCACTAGAGAAATGTTTGAAGCAATGGTGGAAGAGATTGATTTTTATACGTGAACATCTCAAAAATTAACATTCTTCTTCTGTATAGTAGACCACTTCCAGAAGAAGGTTACCATCGGCGATAAAGTGAAATGCCGAAGATTGTGTGAATGTTTCGATAAAATCATTTCGAATAAAGTCCCTGGAAAGTCTATCAAAGATGATATCTAGTTACATGAATACTCGAACCTAGTAAGCACGCAATTCGAAAATGAATACTAATGTAACCAGTTAGGAGAGGCGTCATTTTGTGTGACAATTGGAACACAAAACCCAACTTGTTACGCAACTGCAAAGCAACTGTAACTGTCACACAGAATATCTGTTGGATATTTTATGACAGTTGTGCAACTGGTTGAGTGAAGTAGGACGTTTCAAATCTTCCGTCAGTCTTGAATTGTGTCAAAAAAGATGTCAAAATCATGAAACTGTTTATTCCACACTCACGAATATCGATTCTACTATAATTCTGCGGCAAATTGAAATTGTTCACTGAATCTCACCTACAGAGTAATAAAACCCGCTGAGAAGCGAGTTAATCAACGCCACTCTCGTAGGATGCACTTCGAACGGCTTGCTAATACCCGTTTCGATAAAATCCTTTCGAATAAAGTCCCTGAAAAGTCTAGTAAAGGTGATATCTAGTTACCTGGATACTTGAACTTAGTGAGCACGCAATTTGTAAATAAATACTCACGTAACCAGTGAGGAAACGCGTCATTTTGTGTGACAATGGGAACACGAAACTCAACTTGTTACGCAACTGCAAAACAACTGTAACTGTCACACAGAATAACTGTTGGGTATTCTATGACAGGTGTGCAACTCGTTGAGTGAAGTCGGACGTTTCAAATCTTCGGTCAGTCTTGAATTGTGTCAAATAAGATGTCAAAATCATAAAACTGTTTATTCCACACTCACGAATATCGATCTAACTATAATTCTGCGGTGAATTGAAATTGTTCACTGGATCTCACCTACAAAGTAGGTAAACCCGCTGAGAAGCGAGTTAATCAACGCCACCCTCGTAGGATGCACTTCGAACGTCTTGCTAATATCCGTCAAGAAAATCCCGAACGTGTAGGTGGTCCCGTCGATGATGAAATAGCAGATAAAGGCGACTGCCACCACAACCCACCCCCAGCCGCCGTCCGGAGGAATAACGACGTAGTTCTCGGCCACATTATCGTCGGTGGCGGGTAAGATGACTGACCGCGTGGGAATAGTGCGCATGACCGAATGAGCAGCCACGGAGACGGACCTGGTGGTTCTGACGGTCGGAGGAGGGTTCCGCATCGCGGTGATTGTTCGGTGTCACGGGTATGTCACGATACTGGGTCTGACAGTGACAGGGAGAGCCAGAACGAATTAGAGCCTAGCCATAGCACCACTATACGAGAAATATTGCCACGGCAGCTAGTGATGAAGAGCGTATGAAAATGTTTTGTAGTTCGCTTTGTCAATAGAGTAGTGTTCCTTCCTCCGAACGAAAGACCGGGGTTCGAATCACTACTTTCAGGTAATTTTTTTAAATTTGTTTTTAGAAGTGATTAATCGATGAAGATACTGTGGAGTCATTTACTGCTTAGGCCGATAAAGATTCGCTATCTCAATTATGTTTATATTTCTGGATTGGCCGTGAGCGAAGCTCTTGGCCGGACAACTCCGACTCGTAGCGTAGTTGACTGTGCATTTGGATCCCACGTCGGTCCTCATAGAAAAGAGAATCCTGGCAACAGCTCAAAACGCCGGAAGCCGGGAGCGCCTTCAGGAGGATCTGTAATCAGATAGAGTGTGAAATCCGAGAGCTCAGGAACTCCTCCTGGAGAGCCAAGTTGGAGAGTCTGGACCCTCGCGACAATACTCTCTGGAAAGATTGAAAAAAATGGTTCGCTCCCATCCCAACCCTAGAGTATGGTCGCGAGGAAGCGGTCTCAGATCCGGAGAAGGCAGTAATGCTTGGGAGACACTTCCAAAAGATATCGAAAATTAATAAAGAGCCAGTAGGTGAGGTCCAGGAGGACATGGCGGCAACAGCCGCACGAATAAGAGCACAGCCCACCAGGGCTTGATGGTCTGGACATTGTTCTCCTAAAAAACATGTCAGGCAAAGCAGTAGTGCAATTACACTACATCATCAACGCTATCATATGAGATGCCAGCACTACCCAGAATGCCCGAAAACTCGGCTTGTTGTACCCATCCCGAAATAGGGCAAAAACCTAAAATCCACAAATGGCTACCGACCCATATCTATGCTTAGCGAGGTAGCCAAGATCGTGGATAGAGTCCTCTTACGACTAATATCTCAAGAGGTCGAGAAGCTGGACCTCATACCAAAGGAACAGTTCGGGTTCCGCAAGGGACACAGCACTGTGTCCCAAGTGGCCCGAATTGTTTATGAGGTTAAGGAGGCCAGCAACAACGATAAAAACACCGTTCTGGTCATGATGGACGTAGAAAAGGCCTTTATTGACACCGTCTGGCACGAAGGTTTAATGGCCAAGCTGCACAAGGCAAGAGTGCCGATTTTTATAATTGAAATTATCGATGCATATATTACCAACCAGATTCATCTGGACAGGGGAATTGTGCCCTTCTTTGACGAGTCGAAGATATGTATAAACAGCGCTAAAACCGAAGTGATCAACTTCCATCAGAAGGTCAATGATTCTAAGCTGAACAGACCTTTGACCGTCAAAGGTGTCGAGGTGAGAGACACGGTCCCTATGAAATACATGAGGGTTAAACTGGACACTCGTATGACATTCAGTCCCAATATCAACTACCTACCTTATACAGAAAACACAAGTACCCCTTGTTATCCAGGACCTCCGCACTCTCGCAGGAGAACAAGGTCCTGGTGTACAAGCAGGCATGTGATGAGGTACGCGTGTCCTGTGTTCTGCAGCATCTCTTATGAATAGGCTACAGGTGCTGCAGAACACCAATGGTGATAGATACTCTCGAGTGGCAGATCTCCACGAAATATGTGGTAATTTGCCCAGAATCAACGAATTCATTCTGAAAATATCGAATGAATTCTACAAATACCACATCGCTGGAAGTGACCTTACCCGGAACATCACCACACTACGCCAACATCACAACATACGCAAGAAACACGGGCTGATATCTGCATCAACCGATGTGTTTAGAGAACCTGGTAATCTATAGTTGGGAATCCTCCCGGATCCTCGGGAATACCCGAGACACCGGGAAGAGTCTAGACAGGACTATCTCTCAAGCAGGAAAATAAAAAAGTGACATGGACGTGAGAAATCACTACCAGTTACTGAACTCGGGCAGATGTGCTGCACAAGAAAGTGCAGTACAACTGCCCGAGCAGAACAAGAAGGAGGTTTTCTATGGTTTTGCCAATTTTTTTTTACTTTTCCTCCACAAGCAAGACACCCACCCACATTGATCGCGACTGAACTGCTCCTCCACCCTCTTGGGTACCCTCAGCGAGATTACCTATATAAAGGGCCAAGCCCTAGGAGCTAGGTACCTGTGACGAACACCTCGCATATCCACTCCATATACCTACTAAATATATACGGATAACATCCTATGTTTCCAATGGTCAAAAGTGAAGCCAGTTTTGAGGAAACAAATGACAGTCTGCGGGTGCAAATACCTATTTGCGCATGCGCGAAATTTGTCAAATTCACGAGTCAAAATGGAGGATGAATTTCATTTAAATTTTATTTATATATTATTATGTTGTTGAAGTTTCTTTCCGATGCCTCTGAAAATAATATTCCTCCGCGAAAATGTTTCAGATAGCAGAAAAAGTACATCAAAGCTATATATTGATATTGATGTCAAAGCTGTCAGTGGAATGGGGAAAACAATGAGAGCCACATTCCACATTTGATTCCAATCATTTTTATTTCGAAATTTCAGCGATTTGAGTGCTTTTGAAAATCGGCCGATGGTGGAAGACGAACAGGTATACAAAGCAAGAAATAATGTTAATTTGTTGAAGTGAAAAGTATACAGAAACTTGAGATCTTTGAGCTGATGAAACTTCTGCTGATTTGAAACTCTTTGGTTTGTGTATGCTGAAGCCTCATGAAGTCAATTATGCTCCATTGATCCTTTTGCTTACTGAAATGGTGAAATGTCTACTACATTTTTAGGTAGTCATAAAGAACTGCAGAACTGGAAGAATTCAGTTGTGAAGCTCACACCCAAGCAAGTGGTGAAGAAAGTCAGGTATAGATGTGATGTAACTAGCTTTTACAATCAAAGGAAGACAAAGATTGAAGAAACTGTTCCTACAAAATTAATCATGCTGTTGGTGAAAAAGAATAATTCTGAATTCTTGGTGAATTGTAAGTCTTATATAATATCTAACTTCCATAAATAGGTAACTGACATTCATTTTCCAGATAACAAATCAACTGCCCTACATAATTATATTTCTACAATGAAGCAGGAAGAACAACATTTGAAAAGATTCCATTACTATCAGAATCACACTTGAGCATGGTCTTGAGATTGAGAATAATGGAGATATTTCATAATCATTTTATTCTTATTCCTTGTATAGAATTAGAAGCTTTAAATTATTCACAGTGTTAATCATATTCTGGTTTATATGTTGAAATAAAGCAAAATTGAGTAGGTACTCATTACATTTTTTATTATAACAGAAAAAGTGAAAAAAAAATTCATTAGATTGGCTACTGAAATTGCACTTGTCTTTTCTATGGAAACATCATAGCCACTTTCACAAGATCAGTCCTGGTGGAAGTTGCATCAGCACTCTGGTAAGCAAGTTCTATCCTTCCAGCATCTTTGTCATTATCAGATTCATTTGATCCTCTTACTGAGGATGATTTGGTTGATTTAGCTGAAGAAGGATTAGAGTCATATTCTATTTTTTTATGTATGTGACCTTCCTCTTTCCCATTCATATCCATTGATCACAGGTTTTACATTTTGATGCATTGTAATTGGTGAATTCTGTGGAGGTATGTAATCTGCATCATAGAAAATGTACCAACTTCTGCAATTGTATTTGGAATCCCTTGAAACTTGAAAGAAAAGCACATTACATAGAACACTGTAAAGATATTTTTCTCAAAATGAAAGAAATTACCTTCATAATCTGTTTCTGAGAATAAGTATCTGCTACAGACAGGCACATATATTTGTAAATGGGCTTCCCAATTTTTGTAATGTTCTGCCACACTTCGTATAATTTTGCATATTATGTTGGGAAGCTGTACATTTGTATGTTTATAATGTCTTGCACTTGTTGGCCATTATTGGAAGTATTCTGAGACAATAAAAAACTTCAGCAAACTCGTTCCAAAACCGCGAATTGAAGCTGTTTGCTTCCTCAGATCCACCAAAACTTCGCAAATATGAATTCCAGTGAAGTCTCGGTCATGATTTCTTGTCTGAGGCTTCAGATTCAGAATGGATTCAGATATCAAAATATAAACATTGAATTTCAGGTTATGTACTAAATTCTGTCGATTTTCAATAATGATCATACGTTTACTGAAGAGGGCATCAAATTCGTATAGCAATCGTCAAACTCATGTCGTTTCTAATTTCGAATTGACGCATGCGCATAAGTCTATTAATCCCCGGGGACTATCTTTTGTTTTTATTTCTGGCATCAACTATGAGATCTTGTTATCCATATAGTTATTTATACGTATATGATCCACTCACATTCCCTGGCCAACACCAGCCACCACTGCGCCAAGCGGAGGGATACCCAGGCACACCTACAGATGTGCCAACATTAATAGAAATGTGATTGATATTATGTGATGTAACAAAAAATGAGGCAACAACAAATGACTTTGATACGTCGGTGTACCGGGTTCAATGCCTGCGACGGTCACCTTTTATTAAATTCTTTTTTCTCAAGTGATTTTTCGAAAAATATAATTTTTGAGAAGAAGGTTCATTTAGGCCGATTAAGATTAGATGGTTTATAAAAAGTAGTGCATTTTTTATGCAGGAAGGATATTTTTCTTCTTTCCTGAATAAAGTTACTGTCTTTTTAGGAAGAAGGTTCATCTAGGCCGAATAGGGTTAGATGCTCCAAAATAGGTAGTCATTACATTTCATTGCATCATGCAGGACATCGAAAGATTCTGATAATCTAGTAATAATCTTCAAAGGTTGGTTCAAATTGGGCATAACATTATAGGAGCGACTATAAATACGGGCCTAATAGAAATGGAGAGCAAGGGTTACCCGCCTTATTGCAATATTTCGCGAAAGTCATGAATGCCTATGATAGTTGTGATTTTTCTGCGTATTGAGCAGGAGCGTTTTCAGGCGAGCGATACAGATGATGTTTCAGTATTTCTAGATGATAGTTATGTCGGTGGAAATTCCCTATACTTAACCACAGATTAACTAATCTGTGACTTAACCAACGATGTTTTCATGAATCTTCAATAATGATTCGGTTCTAACGCCATCTTAATGCGTCTTTCTGAACTGATTCGCGCGCGTTCTATATCGATCTTTCTCCTGTCGGAA